TTTGTAGGTCTACGGTCTACTGAAGTCTACTGAGGTCCATTGAGCTTATTAATGTTTAAAAATGTTTGAAATGAAATGTTTTTCATGGATATATGGTATGCACTATACATGAATGTTATAAGTGAATTGCGGAAGAAAAACAAACGATAAATGTATCTCCGACTTTCGACTTCCTCTTGTTCAATTATTTTTTTCAATATCACTGGCTCTTAAAATTAATGAATGTTGTATTGATGTAGTATCTTCCAAATGATCGGCAATTAAGCGTCGATTATTATTTAACTGCTCAGCAAGTAATGTCATAAATAGCCACTTCTTCGTAGCATCGATAGCCATTGAGCCATTCTCTTCTGACCGGCGTCGAGTACAGCAGAGTTTCTATATAGCGTCGGAATCAATACAGGTAGGCACTTGTAACAATTTGTAATTTTCTTAAAGGAAATGATATCACCAAGTACCTTAGTTTGTTTAGTTTCACACTTGATTCAAGTTTCGGGCCCCACCGTTTTTCAGTCTTCAATTTCAAACGTTAGCCTAAGGTACAACTCTGGTGTCAATTCTCTGCTTAATTTTTCCCCTGCGATCGACGTTAAAATAATTTTACATTTCTTCTAGTTTAAGAAAAAGCTAACTTCAATCATAATGAAGTGGTTTCTCTGTGCCGTTCTTGTCGCCCTCATGGAAGTGTCGTACTCAGGTAAGGTATATAAAGCTTATCCAATACGGCACCGTTGTCGTTGCGTTTCTCAACCTTATCAGGTCTTATCAAGCTCAGTCATAATGGGTGTAGCGGCAAAAGGGTCAACTGGATCCTGAGAATGATCCCGCGCGCACGTCCTTTTCCCTTTTCACTGCAACGACGACTCCTCAGTACGCGGCGCTTGCATGCATATTATCCTGTCACTTGCCATCTAATGAAGGCACAGGTAACCCGTCTCAGAATATAAAAAACTACATTTACTTCTTACTCAGTCAATGCTCACTCTCTGCATCCGGGTTCCCTGTGTGGAGATCACAGGAAGAATATTCATAGTCTATGATCATGTAATCGAATTACCCGGTGATCAATCGCATGCGTTTGCTTCATGTCCTTTACTTACTTTATTACCATCCCCAATCTTCACTATACGTAAACAAAACTAAAGTTATGAATTTTTTTCAATCATGAGACAAGGGCTACTGGTTTATTGCCCTCACTGGGTGCCAAGGGACACCCTTTAACTAGCAATAGTTTTTTTTTATTACAATACTACTATTAATCCTTCTATACATATAGCTAAGATTGTGTACAGAGAAAATGATGCTCCTGGTGGCTGCGTATGGAAAGACGTTGTCCAAAAAGTTGGTTGCTACAGAGACGGTGGGGGAGGAGGTGGTAGTGCGAGACCTCTGACTGAAGAACTGGTCAACATCCGGGATCCTACTAACCCCGCATACGTAAAAGATCTTCATTTAATCTGGAATAATTGGCAAGGAAGCCTCAATGGGTGAGTATTCAGTATCCTTATACAGCGGTTTTCCTGTGCCGGAGTGAGAAAGTCGCTACTGTGTCCTGCAGCAAGTACACAGTACGACATGCCGTAAACTGCAAACGTGTTAATTATTATAGTTGGGGGCGCCTGCCAAACGAAAATATATCGGCAAGAATGGGTGAGGTGATCAATGGGGGCTTTGATGCTTTACATTGATCTACGTATATCATCTATCTTTGAAGGCTTGTTTGTGAATGCGCAAAGAGGGCAGCAGCAAAGGGCTACAAATTCATTGGACTGCAATTCTACGGAGAGTGTTGGAGCGGCCCTAAGTCAGAGAATTATGCTCAAGATGGAGAAGCAAGTACATGCATCCAGCAGTACTCCACGCCATGTGATGTGGACAACGAAGAACATCCGTGCGTTGGAAAGGAGTGGACCAATTATGTGTACAGAGTAAAGAGCGCAATCAAGAGCGGACACAAGAGCGCAATCAAGAGCGGACACAAGAGCGCAATCAAGAGCGGACACGAGAACGCAATCGAGAGCGGACACAAGAGCGCAATCAAGAGCGGAAGCAAGAGCGCAATCAAGAGCGGAAGCAAGAGCGGAAGCAAGAGCGGAAGCAAGAGCGGAAGCAAGAGCGGAAGCAAGAGCGGAAGCAAGAGCGGAAGCAAGAGCGGAA